AAAGACATCAAGCATCTATAAAAAAAAAATTATATTGATATGTTTATTTTTGAAAAAGATATGGCATTTTTTAGTAAAAAAAATTGAAAAAATTTCGAAAATTAGCGATTTTTAAATTTGTAATTTTTTTGGAGGTTTCCCCCATTTACGTGGAACGAGTAAAATTTTTTCAATTTTTGAGGGTAATGTATTCGACTAGATACGATTTGTGATCTTTTGACGTATCCTTGAAAAAAATTCCTTTCGGTGAGAGCGGAGAAAAGTGGTAACAGACGCAAAAAAAAAACACATCATAGTAAAACCAATACTTTCTCAGCTTCGCATCGAAGCTAAAATACATTTATGTATATATATATTAATATAATATAAATTACATATATATATATATATATGTAATATTTTTCGTTTCTGCGTATATTCATTTATACATACATACATATATTTTTAAATAAGTTTCAGAAAATCTTGGGGTAAATTTAATTAGTTATTTATATATTTATATAATTTACATTTATCTATTTGTTTATTCGTGTTTATTATTTAATTATTCTTTAGTTGAATCAGTTCAGCTTTGGAATTTAAGATAGTATTATAAGTATTGTTTATGAGTAATTCTAGTAGTAGAAGTAGTAGTCCTATCGATGAAAAATCAGTTGATCCTGATTTCAAACTATCCTGTAGTACTAAAGTATCTATTTCAAAACCTCCTTCTCGTAATTTACGTTCAACTTCGTCGTCTAATCCTCCTATAGAAAATTTATTAACTAAAGGCGATGCTCTTATTGAATCTTGTTCTGAACTTTTAAATACAACTTTTGGTAAACTAGGTGACTAGGTTGTCAATTTTATTTTGGTCTATGTTCAGAGAAAAGATATTAGGGTCGTCAGATTCTAGATTTTGTAAGGTATGATCTACTAAGGAAGAGTATGTTCCCAATTGGGGTTTTTAAGTTTCCATTTATTTATTGGTTCAGGTTGAGGTGCTTGTCCAAATAATTTTAGAAGTATTGGCCAATGATCACTTCCATTATAAGATGTTAATGTATCCCATTCTATGTCAGGGGCAATAGTCGAAGTAGCTATAGTGAGGTCAATTGCAGAAAGATTTCCATTAATGGGATTTTGTCTTGTAGGGTTGCCATTATTCAGGAGTATTAGGTTAGGGTCTTCAAGGAAGTGTTCCATTGTTTTACCACGATTGTCAGTGTATGTAGAGCCCCATATTGTGTTTCGACTGTTAAAATCTCCTACAATTATAAAGGGCCTAGGTAATTGGGTTGTTATTTGCATTAAGTCTTGTTGTGCAAACGGGGTACTATCCGGTAGGTATATATTGCATATGCTTAGTTGTTTGTGGAGTTTTACAGTGATTGCTACAGCTTCTAAGTTTGTATCTAAATTGATTTCTTTACTTTCTATGTCATCTTTAATAAAAATTGCTACGCCTCCACTTGCTCTGCCGGGGTTGAATCTGTTTTTGAAATATCCATTGTAGTTTTTAATATGGCTAGCTTGGGTAAATTTTAGGTTTGTTTCTTGGAAGCATAGTATGTTTGGATTAAAATCAGAAATAATTCGTTGTATGTCTACATGGCGTTTATAAAATCCATCTATATTCCATTGTATTATACTCATGTTATTGGTGTTTTAATTTGTGTATATCTTTATTTATTTTGTAAGTGCCTTTGTTCTAGATTTTTTTTTTTT